ATTATGTTTGTTGACAGTGGCTAATATTGCTCTGGTGGCCTGGTGCTAATTCTTCCCTAATTCCCACTGGTTGGAGTTTAGGAGGCAACTTATATCCTAGCCAGTATCCTAGCCAAGATAACTGATAAGTGGGAACAGGGATATGAAAAGAAATAATAGTAAACTGCTCAAAAATGATTAAACACTTGTTTAATAGTGACAAGGTGCTGGGCACAGTGGCTCATGCCTGTAATCCCAGCAGGTGGGAGCATAACTTAAGGCTGGGAGTTTGAGACCAGCCTGGGCAACATAGTGAGACCCTAATTTAAAAAGTAACCAGACGTGGTGGCGCACACCTGTAGTCCTAGCTACTTGGGAAGCTGAGGTAGGAGGATCCCTTGAGCCCTGGAATTCGAGGTTCCAGTGAGCTACGATTGTGACACTGCACTCCAGCCTGGGTGACAGAGTGAGACACTGTCTCAAAGAAATAGTGACAAGGATTAAAGCAGAGAAGGAAGACGCTAAGAACTTACAAAAAAGAAAAAAGAGAAAAGAAATAAAAATAGTGACAAGGAGATAGCTTATTCATGATTCATGGGAAAATGTATACATATTCAGCTCAAAAAGAGAGCTTAAAAATTAAACGAGTAAGAATTTCTGTGCCATTATTCAAAGTTAGCAAAATTTCTACTCTGACCCGCGCCAACTAACCTCTCCTTAAAGTTAGAACCAAGAGTTTAGCACTTGTCTGTGTGGTTAATTTTGAGTTCCTGGTCAGATTTATGAACCATCTCATACTCTTTTATAATAGATAGTTTTATATTAGAGTTGTACATGTTCTTAAGTTTGCAAGTCATCTTAAATAAACCTCTGTTTTTCCTCATTATGAGTTTCTGTTGTGTGTAAAATTATTTAAAATAATCGAAATTATTCTATTTAACATACAGTTTAAGGTTTTCAATATATTATTAGAGGATCATAAATTAGAAAATGCAGTGACAGATTTTTCACACATTGTTTCTAAATTCTCTCTTGTGTTTCAAAATTGGCACCTTTTTCAAATTCGGCCCTACTAGAGTTGTTGTGTAATTCGATCTTTTTTATTTTTTCAAAAATATTCACAGGGTTCAGAATTCAAAAGACACAAAGAGATATCCAGACAAAACTTCCTCCCTTCCCTAGACACTCAGGAACAGACGTCGGTATCCTTCCAAAGATTTCATCCATATCCAGGACAATAGGTTTACACATTCATTTTTCTCCCTTTTTCATACAAATGGTAGCATATGCTGCACACTGCACGCTGCTCCTTGCTTTTCTTAGTAAACACTACGTCTTGAAGATAAGTCCATGTCCAACTACACAAAGAGCTTTGTCTTTCTTTTTGACAGATATCTAGTATCCCAGCAAATGGATAGGCCACACTTTATTTAATGAATCCCCTATTAATGGACAGTTGGACTGTTTCCAGTCGTTTGCTACTAACAACAACTAGCTCTTATTGAGTGCCAAGCTCTGTTCTGTGTGTTTCACATAAATCATTTTATTTAATCCTCAGTGCTATAAAGAAAACCTTTCACATAAGGGGAATATGTATACTAGATAATTCCCTAGAAGTAGAATCTCTGGCTCTGAGAATGTGTGCATTTGATTTTGGCAGGTAGAGTGGTTATGCCAATTCACATCCCCACCAGCAATGTAAGCATGTGCCTGATTTCTCCCACCATGTGCTATCAAAATGTTGATTTTTGCTAATCTGACAGGTAAAAAGTTTTATTGCAGTATGGCTTTAGTTTGCATTTCCCTTGTAAATGAGTTTAAACATCCTCTTGTAAGTTTAAGAACAATTTTTATGTCCCTTTTCTATGAAATATAGTTTTCTCATTTTTTAAGTTTTATTTTTGACAATAATTGTATGTACTTTTAAATTGAGTTGTCTTTTTCTTAATTTGTAGGTCCTCCATCTAGTAGGGAAATTAGACATTGCCTGTGATGTGATTTGCAAATGTTCTTATACAGTTTTTTGCCATGCAGAATTTTAAAAGTTATGTAGTTGAATTTATCAGTATTTTTTGGTTTCTGGTTTTATGTCATTGTTAGATAGCCTGAGATTATTAAAAAAATTCCTATGGTTTTATTTATTTATTTTTACATTTAAAGCTTTGATGTGTTTGGAATTTACCCTGATATAAGGAGTAAAGGATAAATCCAACTTTATTTTTTTCTAGATGGATACCTGGTTTAACCAACATTTATTGATTAACCTATCCCCCACAAATTAGAGATGCCACCTTTTATCCTAAGCTAAATTCTCATCTTGATAATTTTAGAATTAGATGGTACATATTATTTAGTGATATCAAACTTGATTGTTTTCTTCCTAATAGCCAAGCTTCCTAAAAAAGTAATTATAGGGCTTATTATTTTCTATTGAAAAAAACGATATGCCAAACTTCTGAGGGCACATTATCCAAATAGAAATGTGTATGGCTTTGAGCAAAAGAAAGAAATTAAAAATGCAAAATTAGAATTATTTAATCAGATGCTTTTCAGAATAATCTTAGTTTTACTTTATTGAAACGAACAGTTTGGTATAGTGGTAAGAATACCAGACGAGGAGGTTGGAGGCCTTCCGACCTTGTTTTTTTTTTATCTATCTGGTCTCTTTATAATTAAATAATAGTAACAACAAACACTTAGAACATTGCCTTGCTTATAGAAAGTCCTATCTAAGAGCTTTACATACAGTATATTAATCCATTTGGTCTATGTAATTAATAAAAAGTTTGTCATCTGTTATGAATTATACAAATGTTACAGATCATTACTAATAAAAATGTTGATAGGCACTTTCAGCTCAGTCAAAAAAAAACCCACAAAAATCCAACACTGTTCTGAATTACATGCATGCTATATATGGCTATCAAGCCAAGTCATTATCTGAGACAGCCAATGGACTAAATGCCTTCCCTTTCACCTTCAAATTTCTATGCCTTGCGTATGCTGTTCCTTTGGTCTGAATGCCCACCCCCCAACATATAACCATGTACCCTTCTTTTCTTTAAAGACCACCTCAAATTCATCTCCTGGCCTCTCTCCCGGGTAGAATTACTTGTGTTGTCTTCTGATTCCCTAGCATTTCATATACCATGGAATGCATTATAATAGAGGTTGCCTCAGTATTTTTGTCGTCAATTACACTTGAACTTCTTGAGGGCAAGGCCTGTACATCGTTTATCTTTGTATCTCTGCTCGGCTTCTGACGTAGTTCCTGGCATATAATAGATGTCCAGCTGAAAGAAAAGAATGAAAATTTGCATACATGATTATACAGATCCTATTTGGTAGACGTTGGAAAGGCCACTAACAGAATCAGAGCATAATGAGTCCTGAAAGCTGGTAAAACCAAATAATTTATTCATTTATTTCTCTTTGAATGTATGAGGACCTGAACTTCAGCGGTTTACAGCCTATTTTAAAGGTGTGATCTACAGGGTGAAAATCAGATATTTTCTCTAATTGTATGTTTCAGCTTTTGCATTTTATTTTCAAAAGCCACACTTAGGGTGCTTGCTAAATAAGAATATTGGCTAAAATAAGATTGGGAAATACAGAAACATCACACTTATCAGTCAGACAGACTTACGTCAGCCACAACTATCTGGAACATACTCAAGAACCCCAGAGGGAATCCAAAAAGGCCTCTGAAGTTGGAAGAAAATAGCTCGCACAAAACATGTGTACTTGATGTAGGAGCGGAGGCACATTGCCACTGGCATGCCAAAGCCTACTCAATACTGAGTTTGAATTTTCATAGAAAACTCCAAGGACTGCTTTGCAAATGTGGCTATTCGTCCTGTTTCCAAGGCATTTTAGCTTGTCTTAGGTTTCAGTAGAAAAAAGAGTAACTCTCCCACCCATGCTGTCAAGACGGCACTAAATAAAGCATTGTTGACGTGAGTGTAAAAGTGATTCTCATGTTTTTCTCCTAGAAATCATGGAAACTTTGTGTTTTATTTTTCAGTCTCTAGGAATTCTGATTGACTCACGTAAAATCAGTTGTGATGATAATTAATTTATTCTACTTTTTAAAAAAACCTGAGGTTTGGCCAGCCATGGTGGTTCACGCCTGTAGTCCCAGCACTTTAAGAGGCCGAGGCCGGAGGATCCCTTGAGCCCAGGAGTTTGAGACCAGCCTGGACAACATGGCAAGACCCCATCTCTTAAAACATTTTTTTAAAAAATCAGCTGGGCATGATGGCACATGCCTGTAGTCCCAGCTATTCGTGAGGCTGAGGCAGGAGAGGATTGCGTAAGCCCAGGAGTTGGAGGTTGCAGTGAGCTATGATGACGCCACTTCACTCCAGCCTGTATAACAGAGTGAGACCCTGTCTCTTAAAAAAAAAAAAAATCTGGCCAGGCTTGGTGGCTTACACCTGTAATCCTAGCACTTTGCGAGGCCAAGGCGGGAGGATTGCCTGAGGCCAGGAGTTTGAGACCATCTGAGCAAGAGTGAGACCCTGTCTCTACAAAAAATAGAAAAATTAGCTGAGCGTGGTGGTGCACTCCTGCAGTCCCAGCTGCTTGGAAGGCTGAGGCAGGAGGATCGCTTGAGCCCAGGAGTTTGAGGTTGTGTTGAGCTATCATGATGCCACTGACTCTAGCCTGGCTGACAGAATGATACCTTGTCTCACAAAAATATATATGGGGTTTAAAAGGACTGATGTCCCCTTGGATCTCACCTCTTTGAAAGGGGATGATTAATTTGAGAAATACTTCTTTATTCCTTTGAGTATTTATATAATTTATCATAGGTTGAGATCCTGAATGTGAAAGGAACATGTATAAACTTCTTGGATAATTTGGTAAAAGTTATATAAGTAAGAGAAAAAGTCAAAAGGCATATGTAAATGATTTGGAGACCTGTTTTAATGCATGTTAAACATGCTTTTTGTGGAGGGACTATAGATTAATGAAAACAGGTATCATTCAGTTTTCTTTCTTTCTCCTTCTATTTCTAGATTGCCAAAATGCTTTGGAGTTTTTAACTGAATCTAAGAAAAGTCCAAAATAGATTTGAGACTGTAAAGACAGAAGCCGCAGCAAGGGGGATTCAGTGTCAATGCATCAACAAAAAAGACAACCAGAGTTAGTGGAAGGAAATCTTCCTGTTTTTGTGTTTCCCACGGAGCTAATATTTTATGCAGATGATCAGTCAACGCATAAGCAAGTGTTGACTCTGTATAATCCCTATGAGTTTGCCTTAAAGTTCAAAGGTGAGTCTCCCAGGTCTATTTTATGGATTTTTAAATGGTCCCTACTAATTTTTTACTTGTAGAAACTAATTTTTTTAAAAAATGCTAATGGCCATTGTGACTTTTTCTTTCAGTCTTGTGCACTACTCCAAATAAGTATGTTGTCGTTGATGCTGCAGGCGCAGTGAAGCCTCAGTGCTGTGTGGACATGTAAGTCAAGATCGCCTCCTGGCAACACGTTTTCAGTGTGTTAATGTTTATGTTTTTAACTTGAAAAAAAATCTTTTTATTGAAGCTGTTTCCACATAGGCATTTATTATATTTTGAATTTTTGCTGAAAGTTTGTCTGTCAAAATTCCTATTAAGAAGTTTCTAAGAGTCAAAACAGGTCAACCAAATATTTTAATAATATTTCATGTTGGAGCTAAAGTATGTGTTAGTTTGATGAACATTTTCTCATTGTTGTGGTTTTAGTCATAGCAGGGATGTTTATGAAGGTAAAGTTCTGACTTATTCCTTTAAATTTCTCCATCTATAATAGGGAATTTAGCTTTTTTGGATCATCTTGCTATGATAGTGACATTTGGAAAACTAATAGTACTATAGTCTAGGAACAATAGTAATATAAGTTCATCTGAAATGACTCAGCTAATAAGCCTGGAATGTACTCTATATAAACAGGAAGCAAGTGTGTAACTACTCATCTGTAAAAGGTTATCTGAGCTCTTCCAGATAATTTCATTTTAGAGTAACAGAAAAAATGATTGTTTGTTCAAGCTGTTCATGTTTAATTTTCACTTTAGAACTAGTGGTGGCCAGATGGATCCATTGACCAGCCTTAATTTAAGCTACCAAATACACTGTATTTGTTTAAATCTTCTGCGAGAATGAGCAGAATTCTTTTCTTGAATACATTTTCATCAGCTCAAAGCCATAAAATGATTTACCTTTGAGAACATGTTTTTGCACATTTCTTTTGATTTTCATTCAGTACACAATATGCAAGGACTATTCCAAAGAAATGTAGTCTCTTGCCAAATAAATGTTACCTTCGACCTAATTGTTTTGTGTTCCCTAGTAAGAATGAAGTGAAATAAATGGAATTGCAAAAAAAACAAAAAACAAAAATTACAGTGCTTTATACTCTTTTCTCTTTAGAGAAATACAGAAGTATATTGTTAGCCTTCTGTTGCATTGGTCATGGTGGATTACTTACTTATTCAATTGCTTATTTTTACCTGCATGCATGCATGGAATTCAATTTTAAGTCTAGAGTGAGGTTTGTTACATGAACAATAAGTAAGTGGCAATAGAAATTTATGAGATGTTTGTGGAGAAGAAACAATTTCATATATTCCTATTTGGTAAATATTGCTGTACACAGATACTTAGAAAAAAATCATAGCTAAAGAGAGTTTTCTTTACCTATCATTCTTAAGACTTTTATTCTATGTTTTGGAGTATGTGCTTTCATCAGATATTTCAGAATTACCTATTTTGTTTGGGATTATACTATGATTTCTTTCTTTCTTTTTTTGGTATCTTAACAAATTTCTGTTTTTGACTGTTTGGTTATAGTCAGTTAATATTGTTTTACTGTATTGAAATATCTTGCTGCATTCTGTTTGACAGGCCCCAGAAACCTAAAGAGCATTTGCTATTTTTTTGCTGTTTTCAGTGTGGTTCGTCATAGAGATGTTCGATCCTGTCACTATGGTGTAATAGACAAATTCCGTCTCCAAGTCTCCGAGCAAAGCCAGAGGAAAGCTTTGGGAAGGAAAGAGGTGGTTGCTACTCTTCTTCCATCTGCAAAAGAACAACAAAAGGAAGAAGAGGATAAAAGAATAAAGGAACATTTAACTGAAGGTTTATTTTTTGAGCAGTCGTTTCAACCAGGTAGTTTTGGGTTGTCTTTAAAGCCCTTTTGAGGTCTTACATATTTTTAGCTATTTATTTATAATAATTATTTTAAATAGTGGAGCTAAGAAGAATTACTAGAAAAATAATCTGCCACTTTAAACCCAGTCAACTACTTCAAAACTGAACCTAGAGAATCGAGTGCCTGAAATAGAGCAAGAAGTCTAGAGCTGGACTTTCAGAGGAGAGAATGCCCCTCCCTGGACTAGGCTGCAAGGAGAGGGCAAATGTTGCTGTAGCCTTTTACATATATCTAGATTTAAATCTATAAATATAAATCTGAGACTGTATGCACCATACTTTATGATGCTAGTACAATCTGGCAATTCTATACTTTTGTTTCTATGACTTTCCTATATCCTTTCTCATTTAATTAGTTCAAAGGAGGAGAGATATTGTGTTTGGCAATAGGCCAAGCTTAGTGCACTGTTCATATTATTTTGAAAAAAAAAATCTCATTAAAGTTGAAGTTAATTAAACTAAGTAGATTATAATATCCCCTGTGGGCTATTAATTGAATCCCTCTCCAGTCCTCATTTCCTTCCAGCTTAGATACTCAAAAGTGTTATGATATATTCTTTCAACATTGACACTATCCTCGTATTCAACTCTTTGGATGTTATTCCCCTTTCTTCTTGACTTCTCATTATCTTCCTACAAACCTGTTATAAGAGGAGGAAGATAAAATTTTCCATAGAAAAACACGGAAACGTTTTGATAATGATATATGAATGTGATAGCAGCTGTCCTTGAAATTGCAACATGATATATGAGGGATTTTCTAAAAATCTACTTGTCATTACATTAATCCATAGATCCATATCGATTTGTTCATTTTAGAATGGTTGATTCTTTTATTTATTTTTTAATCTCCTAAACGTTCTCCAGGATAGAATGTTTATTTCAATAAGATAGAGAGTGGTGCCTCTTTAATTTACTGTTGCCAGCTATCTCTTCTCGGGCCATGTAGGGAGGGCCCAGATTTTCTGGTGATAGCAGGACTAGGGACTAGACAGTAGTTAAAATACTATTATCTTCTCAGCAACTATTACTAAGTGACAGGACCAGCTTTTCATCCTTTGAAGCTGAAAGAGAACCTCTGTCAAATGTCACCTTGTCAGATCAATATTGTAAAGTTGACTTATTTATGAAATGCAAGTTTCCCCTTTTAAAATGATTCCTCTAGAACAAGAAAGACCATTTAATGGGTATTTGTCTTTTGATGTTAAATTCATAATTTAAAGTGGTCATTGGAGCTCAGTTTTATATTTAACAGACTGGTATAAGAGCCAAAATAATAAGGGTTAAGGTTTAGGGGTGTATATGTCTGTGTGTCTATTTGTATATGTATGTGTAAGGAGAACTTTATTTCTTTTATTTTTTTAATTTATTAGAATTCAGGTAAAAATCAATAATTACAGTATGTATTAATCATTTTTATAGCGAACCTTGGTATCTAAAGTATATTAGAGAATTTTTCTATACTTCTTATAGTGGAACAAAAAAACCAAAGGAAAAGAAGAAAAAAAAGAATTTTTCTAATTGTAAAATTGGAGTAGGTAGATGAATGAGGATGGGTGATATTGGCATAACAATGTGGTGGTCTCTTTTTTTTGGGGGGGAGGATCTCTAAGCCATTACTGTGAGGAAGCTCAATGAAGGTAGGCACCTTATTTTTGTCTTGTTCCCATTGTGTCCTCAGCACCTAGCACAGGGCCGGGCACAGAGTAAGTTACACAACAAACGTGTGAATGAGCTGAGTCAGGAAGGCTGGATTTCAGGTCTGGTGAGGGTCTATGGGATTGGTTTTCTTAGGCTTACCAGGTTTCTATGGCTATTGCCCCTCTGTAGAGGAAGGATGATACCACAGTAGAGCCCCATTCACAGTCCTGGCCAACATGTCCTGTTTATGGGTATTTACCCCAGTGTGTCTAATAATCTGCCAGTAAGTTGAGTAAAGTTTTCTTCTTTACTAGAGCATAATGATGACTGATTTAGTCTCTGTTGACAAAGTCATATTTTTAACTTCACCTGTCTATTACATTTATAGTGATTTGTGTGTGGTCTCCAGTATGTAGAATATTCAGGTTTTTCATTAAGTTTCTCTGAACTAAAACGTTGAAATAAATTGAGATTGTTTTCTGGGAGGCTTTTCAACATCATTGTTTTTGCAAGTCTTTAGCTTAGAAAACAGTTCAACAAAATCGTGTCATTAGAAGTATTAGAAATGCAACAGTGTTGCGAGACTCACCATTAGCTGGAAAATGGTTGATGACTACATCATGAGAAATTTGGATTTTAAAATGTATTGAAAAGTCAGTAAAAATGAGAAATATTTTCTTAAGTTTGTTGTATAAAAGACATGTAGCAGTAACATTCAAGAAACAAAACACCTATAATTCCATGCACTTAATAAATCTTATATAAGTGTTCTGTGTCATTTTCCACACCTTGCCTATGTGTATAAATTCAGTTTTATATTTTGTGGATTTTTTCATTTAACAAAGATCTAACTGTTAAATTAAGAGAAACCCACAAAGTATACTTTCATAAACTACTAGAGCCCAAGTTATTGAAAAGGCATTTAAAAAGATACAGCTGAATCTTAGTAGGTTTATCTTAATTACATTATTAACAAACTGCTATGACTATGCTGTTTGAATCTGTGCCCTCTGGCTTAAGAAAATTATGCTCTTTATTATTGTTTATAATAATAAAAAATTGAAAATGACCTAAAAGCCCATCAACTGGGAATTGATTAAATCATAAATATTTATGAGGTGGCGTGCCAGGCAGGCATTTACAAGGATCTGATAGAATGATGGATATTTATATATTGTCATAGAAAAAGCTTCAGATGTATTTCTAAGTGAGGGGAAAAAACATACAACAGTATGTATAAAATGGCCTCATTTATGTGAAAGAATTCTTTTACATGTTTATATGGGCCTTTATGAAATCTGAAAGGATATATACTAAGCTGTAACAGTGTTATCTCTAGGAGGATGGGATTACAGAGGCACCTTTATGTTTTCTATTTCTTTATAACCTTTTTTACAACAGTCATCTAGTACCAGGGGAAAAAAGCTCTTACCATTTTCAAAAATTTCAAGCTTTTATGCAAATGTTTTTGAAATTTCTCTAAATACGAAAAATTCTTTGAAATTATCTTTATTGTGGGTTTACAGTGAACAGTTTGCAACATATTAATATATAAAAATAAGGTTACTTCATTTATTAACTAAAATAAGACTTGAGGTTTTTTTTTTTTTTAGATATTTCTGCTATTATTTCATCCCAAGCAATAATCACTATAAAATCTGAATTTGTTTTCACCTATCTGGCTTTAGCAAAAGTTCAATTAAACTCCATACAACAGCTAAGATATTAATAATTTAGAAAAGCTCCATTTAATAATAGAATGAACAGCATTATTTCATTAATAAAACACAAAGATTGTGTTGCTGTTGGCTATTGCTTTTAATGAAAGGATGGGTATGGGAAACACTACATAATAGAAAATGCTATTATTTGGTTTCTTAAAAATACGGGTGTATGTATGGTACACAGGCAGCCAGAACTGTAGACTAGCAGGCCTGACTACAGAATTTTATTTTAAATCTTTTAAAATTTTATTTTATTATAGGAACACTTAACATGAGATCTACTGTCTTAAAATTTTAAGTGTATAATACAGTATTAGTTAACTACAGGGACAATGTTGTAGAGCAGATCTCTAGAACTTACTCATCTTGCATAATTGAGACTTATGCCCATGATTAACAACTTGCATTATCCTCCTTCCCCAGCCCCTGGCCATCACCATTTTAAACTGATTCTATGAGTTTGAGTATTTTATTTTATTATGTTTTTTCTTTATTTTTACTTCCGGAATTCCCTGACAGATTTTTTTTTTTTTTTTTTTTTTTGAGACAGAGTCTTGCTCTGTTGCCTGGGCTAGAGTGCCGTGGCATCAGCCTAGCTCACAGCAACCTCAAACTCCTGGGCTCAAGCGATCCTCCTCCCTCAGCCTCCCTAGTAGCTGGGACTACAGACACATACCACCACACCCAGCTAATTTTTTCCTATATTTAGTAGAGACGGTGGTCTCACTCTTGCCCAGGCTGGTCTCAAACTCCTGACCTCAAGCCATCCTCCCGCCTCAGCCTCCCTGAGTGCTAGGATTACAGGCATGAGCCACCACGGCCAGCCAAGTTTGAGTACTTTAGATTGCACCTATCAGTGAGATCATGCAGTTACTTGTTCTTCTGTGACTGGTTTATTTCCCTTAGCATATTTGCCAGCTATTGTTTCTGCTGCTTTCTTCTTTGCTATAAATGGGAGAGCAGAGGGCAAACACTTTCATAGGCAGCTTTATAATGTTCCAATAGTGCTGTTTTTTGGTGCCCTAACATTTTCAAAATTGGTAGCAGGATGCAGTTATTAGGTTCAAACCTATCTAGAGACCTCCCTGAGATATTTCCAGGAGATAGTAGAGCTCTTGTGTAGTGGGCTCAAATGGAGTACACACAAAGAATCCATTGGGGCACAGGATGAAAATATCAGAACTTTTATTTATATGTATTTTAGCACATTTTACAAAAATTCTGTTTGGATCGCTTGAGCCCAGGAGTTTGAGGTTGCTGTGAGCTAGGCTGATGCCACGGCACTGTAGCCTGGGCAACAGAGTGAGACTCTGCCTCAAAAAAAAAAAAAATTCTATTTGTATGTTTTATATAAAGTGTAATAGTATAGAACTCATGCATATAATTTATAAATATGCATGCATTGATGATACATGTTCAAATACTTTCCACTGACTAGGGTGGGATGGGGGTGGTGGTGACCACTTTGCTTTTCAGTAGGAACTCGCTACCTCACAATGCCATCGCAACATTCCATCCTGTAATGACTCAGAGAAGTTAAGTCATGGGCTTCCAGATTAGTCGAGCAGATAAGTACCCAAGGAATGGGATCAATGGGGAAAGAGTCAGAGAACTTAGACAAAATCAGAATCTTGGTGAGTGGTGGCCAATTTATGTGAAGGAACTTTCGTCTTAACGTTTTTAGAAGCAAGCTCAGAGATTTTTGTCTTTTTACAGAAAACAGCACTGTCTCCTCAGGACCTAGTTTACTAACTATCTTCCTGGGAGTGGTGTGCATTGCAGCCCTGATGCTGCCTACGCTGGGGGATATGGAATCGCTGGTGCCTCTCTACCTCCACTTAAGTGTGAATCAAAAATTAGTGGCTGCTTATATCTTAGGTAAGGGTTTTAAAGGTGCATTTGGGGCATATATGTAGGGCTTTATGTTGGGGGGAGGTTGGTTTTTTTCTTCTTAAGGAAGAACAGATGAAAGATTGCCTCAAGTGCATGTTGAGGTCAGGTGTACTTGAACATTTAATTTTTGGCTCACATTTAGTTCTTTTCAGCTTATTTATCTAGTACCGAATACTGTATTCAGTTATTTTCCTTCTGCTGACTTCAAATGGTATAAAACATGTATAAAATATAAAAGGCATATATTCTGTGATACAGCATTTCTACTTTTAGGAATTGCTCCTAGGAAACACTTAGACAAAGTGCATATAGTGATAATGATAAAGAATGCTGCTTTTTTAAATATCATGAACCTTTCTCTTTTAAGCCAGTTCCCTTATTTCCTGTTCAATCATTCTTTCAGTCATCCTGGCTTGAAATATTATACTTAATGATTTCAATTGAACAAACAATTATTCAGTACCTTCCATGTTTTAAGGATTAGGGTCTGGTGATGAATGACTCTTTCCTCATATTTTCCTCTCACCTCTGCTTAGATGCCAATTCTTTTCTGTATTCCCTCTCAGTATTCCCCAGCGTGTGCGCTCACGCTTTCTCTCTTGCTCTCTCACACTCTCTCTTTTCTATTTTAAAATTGTCTTCTAAATTGTATCCCTACTTTCTGACTGTGTTCCTTCTCTCCCTATTTCTTTCCCCATTTTTTTTCCCCAAAACCATCCATCACGTTACTGTCAGATTGATTTCCTTTGTTTTGGTTTCACAATCACCTCCTACTACAAAGCCTTCAGGGGCTCCCCACAGTCCACAGGATGAAGTATAACTCCATAGTTTGGCATTTGAGACTCTCTGCAATCTGAGCTAATCTTGTCTAGCTGCTTGCCTCTATAAATCCACGCATGCAGCCTGTTAGATTATTCATTAATTCCAGAAAAGCTCCTCTAAAGCCCTGGTCCTTCACCTGAAATGCCTTCTCATCTTCTAAGGCTTATCTCAGCTTTTACCATTGGGGTCAACTTTTCTGACTGCTCCATTCCTTCCTACATGATCATTCTCCTACTGTGTACTTCTTTGTCGTTACCACTCATTTAGGACTGAGCATATTCTTGCTATTTTTTTTTTGTTTGTTTTATATATGGAGTCTATTCAAAGGAGAAAAGCAAAGCAGGACTACTATGCTTCTGTCTCTTTGTGGCCCTAGGGCCCTGGGATGCAGATAGACTCTTAATGTTTCTATTGACAAAGTCTGCTGGCTTTATCCACACTTTCAAATGGCACAACTGCTATTATTATGGTAGATGTGACTGGATAAAGTAGGAGGTATGTTTGATGGATAGATTAGCTATGGCCAGACATTAGTGATTTAATTAAATCTATCCAGTGACTGCCCATTGCTGTAAATTGGATTTCTTCTGTATAATATCAACTAAATTCAAACTGACTTTGAGTTCTTGGTAGGGTGCCTGCCTATGTGCTATGTTTCATTTGCTCATTTTCTTTTCTCTCTCTTTTTTTTCCTGGCTCCTCATTTGCTCATTGAGGTCCAAACAATTGCTTATTGAATGGAAGATTGTATAAAATGCATATCTTTAACTGTTCTCCATTTTTCTTCTTTCAGGTCTTATTACAATGGCTATACTTAGAACATGAGCAAGGATTTCACTTGGCTTCTGAAGTAAATTTATCTTGAAAATATGAATGTGGACTGCCTTTTATCTCTTTCACTCCATTAACATGCTACGAGCTATTAAATGATTTCAAATGATTGCAAATGTATAATATATTTTAAATTACTCTATAATTTTATTTGAAGGACTCCAGCACATTATGTTACAGATAGCAAGGATGCTTCTGAGTGACACCTAGGAAATTATTTGAAGAAATCCCTTTTATATTTATGCCAGTTGTATGAAAGACTTTAATTAAAACACTTGTTATTTTCTCATCTTTTTTTCTAATTTACTTTGATTGTTAAGGGTCGTGTGTCCTTCAAAGTTAAAGACCTAAAACAGCAAACTGACCAGCCTAAAAATAAAATTACATTTATTTCCTACCTAAGAACATCACTGTTACTACATAAATTATACCTTGCCCTCTATCGTTATAAACAGTTGCCATGGTGTTTCTAAAATAAGAGTTTTATAGTTAATGTGTGGAGGATTAAAAAAAAAGGTACTAAGGGATCATGCTTACCCAGGGTTCCACAGAAAACAGGACATGTTTAATTCATCTCGTGAACTACAGAATGGGTTGTGGTCCAGACACCAAGTATATGGGTTTTTTAAAAAACCTCAGAGAAGTAGAGTGACATCTCTGTTTGGTCTAAGAGTTCTAAAGGAAGATAGGCATTTAGTTAGTTGGTTCACCCTGGCTTTACCTCTGGTTAATGCTTTATGTTAATAGGGGAAAAATCCCTTTATCTTCTGTCCCAAGCTCCTTGCCTGCCTGCCTGTGACTTGCCCAGACTGGGATTACCAGATACCAGGTGATTTACATAGAGATGATTTTTCACCTTTAAACAGTAAGCCAAGTATAGAAAACCCTTGATAGCTGTGTCTATTTTATATCAGTCACTGAGACATTTTTTTTAAGTTTTTATTTATTATTAAAACAACTTTGCCAAAAAAGTCCCCTAAGCACAACTTATTTACATTTCTTTATAGCCTCTTCTGATCTCTAACATATATGCAGTTTTAACTGTTATCGTCATAGTAACCGATCTTTTGTCTTAGGATTTTTATCTGAAAGCACAATGAATTATTAAGAGTTTCTTGAAAATCATTCAGATCTTTTTACAGGATGAATTTATGCACTGCTACTGTAGTATTCTCAAGGAATATATGTAAACTTAAATGTATGCCCAAGGTTGGTTTTTGTAGGAAACAGTACTCTGCTTCTAAAAACTTTTATGTCTAGTCTTTCATAGAAAATCCTCATTGTTTAACCATTTGGGGAGCATACATCATTAAATGGATCATGTCTGTACATTGTGTAATGACTGAAAAGCACATAAATGTAATCTTTAAACTTTGTAAAAAAAATTGTGTTTGGAGGCTATCCTTGTTTCTCCATCTCAAGTCCTCTGTGTGTGCACATGTGTGCAAGCGCACGTGCACGTGTGTGTGTGTGTGATAACACATTGTAAAGAACAGAAATTACTTTAAAAAAATAAAAGAAAATGGAGACCTGAGTTTCGTATTGATTTAAACATTTTATTTGGGTTACCTCTAAGGAGCTCAACGTTTTAGCTCTGTTTCCTAAAGTTGTCTCTTATTCCTGTAGTTAATTAAGCAAGAAAAAATGAACAGTGAAATATATCAGCTAGAAATGTCTTGTTTCTTAATTTACCAAGGGAGTTAATTCATTTTTTAATTTAACTTTTCGAATAGGTAACAATCATATACTTCAAAAATCAAAAACTATAAAAAGGTATACAGTGAAAAATCATTCCTCACCATCCCTATCCACCCCAGCCCCTTATAAGTGGCCACTTTTATTAATTTAAATATGCTTCTAGTGTTTCTTCATGCAAAAACATAAACAGATTGAGTATCCATTATCCAAAATGCTTGGGGCCAGAAGTGTTTCGGGTTTCGGATTTGGGGATGTTTGCATACACGTAATGAGGTACCTTGGGGATGGAAACACAAAGTTCATTTATGTTTCATATACATCTTATACATAGAGCCCGAAGGTAATTTTGTTTTTCCCTTGAGGACACAGAGTAAACTTGCGCACCTGCCTTTTGACTGCAACCTATTACATGAGGTCATGTGTGGAATTTCCACTTGTGGTGGCATGTCGGTGCTCAAAAAGTTTTAGATTTTAGGATTGGGGTGCTCAACCTGTACTTGCTTCTTTTATATATAAATGATAAGAGTTTTGTGAGTAGTAGGAGACCTGGGACTTGAGCTGGCTCTGGAAGGGTGACTGATTCACATACAGAGAAGAGTTGGGTTCACAGGAAAAGGCAAGGATGAGTGTGCCAAGAGGTGAGGAGAATTGTTTTGCGACAATATCTAGGGAGATATTTGAGACTATGATGTGTATGCCATTGTTTCCTGCCTACTGTGAAGGAAACTACTGCCATGATTCAAAGGGATGAACACTGGCTCTTAAGGAAAGAACCAAGCTAGCCAAGGGGCCACAGGTTTTACAAAGTTTAATCAGGGAAGAGGTAAAGAAGTAGTTGTCATCATGAAAACAAATATGATTCATCCTGAAGGCAGCTAGCAAACAGGAAACACACAGCAAGAGACACGACAATAGTTGTAATTATCTGTCACTGCAGGTGTTTCTGCCACCTCAAAATCATTAGGCCAGCACAGTTCTGCCACCCGGGTTTACTTCAAAAGGAGTTGTACAAAATCAGCATGTAAAGTTTCAGGTTTCTGGAAGGGATTCTGGAAACAAATGTCTCCTCAGTACTCACTGAACAATTAAGTGGAAAGACTATAGCAGCTGCTGAGGAGGTACCTACAGGGTTTCCACATGTACACGGAAATAGACACTAAGGTTTTGAAACTTTGCTATTATGAAAGAGATTGAAGATTTCAAGTGGCTCCTAAAATCCAGGCATTTAGAGAAAGCATGCCTAAAAGGAACAATTTAAACCCAAAGGAAGTTGGGAGGTGGGGGGAACTGGGGCCATATAGCTACATCATAAGGTTCAAATGGAGGGGCCTAGAGAGCCTTGCTCTATTATCCCAGCAGCAGAATGTCAAGTTGGTGATTATTTCATGAGGAAAATATTTGCTACACCTATAATCTGGAAGTGATAAACAACATACCAGAGCAGAACATTAGTATCCAGGATTAAATACCAAACAGAATAACAAAGGGTTGAGCCAGCTACTGGGCATTAAGATGAAGCCTTGTCCAGTTACCACATCAAAGACCCTTTAAGCAAGCCATAGGCAGAAAAAGGAGGAATAAATTAGGACACTGGTTTGGAGAGGCTTTATATGACCAAGAGAACAAAAATGCAAATGGACTAAACTCAAGCTGGCTGATTCCTTTATTTGGTTCATTTAGTTTTTCTGTGATTTGCTCATCACTTGGTTAATCAAAAGATGTTCAGCAAATTAAAGTGACACCTACCTTGGGCTATGTCAGTTTCAACACCTAATAAAAACTGGGCCCAGTTCAAGGAAGATGATGATGGGGGATGTCCAGGTCACTAAATGCATTTTCCAATTAGCTGGCTGATTGCTTTGTGAATCACTGACATAATGAACACGTAAGCTAGGTAGCTCAGAATGTGATCTGAGTAGGTGGGGGAAAGTGAAAAAAGGAAATGAAATGATGTCATGTGGATGTACACAGATTTTTAGTCTACCAAGGTAGAGAAAACGCAAAATCTGTCTTGACAATATGAAGTGTGAGCTGTGCTAATGTTAAAAAAAAGTGTGCTAACCCCTGGGATAGAAAACAGAATGCAAACATGGCACACACACACCCACACACGCACACACACACAGAGATGAAATCCCACAGTAAAGTACTTTTGCACAATCATAAGTCATGGGAGACAAGGTTAGGAATGGATTTATTTGGAGAATTTAAACGAAAGTACTCACTCTCCTAATGAACATGTTTTTGGAGCTAATCTCTGTACTAGGTTACCTGTATCTTCTCAGGCTGTTGGGAAATACATGTTTTCTGTTCGTGGTTTTTGTTTAATAGACTTTATTTTTGACAGTTTTGAATTTGCAGCAAAATTGTGCAGAAAGTACAAAGAGTTCCCATATATTCTCTCCCACTATCAACATCCTGCACCAGAGTGTGGTGCATTTGTTACACTTGATGAACCTACACTGACACATCATCACCCAAAGCCCATAGTTTATACTAGGTTTCACTCTTGGTGTGGTACATTCTATGGGTTTGGACAAATGTATGATGACATGTGTCCACCATTACAGTCTCACACAGAGTGGTTTCACTGCCCTAAAAATCCTCCGTTGGGGTTTTCTTTTTTAACTTAAAAAATTTATTATGGGCCGGGCGCGGTGGCTCACGCCTGTAATCCTAGCACTCTGGGAAGCCAAGGCGGGTGGATCACTCAAGGTCAGGAGTTCAAGACCAGCCTGAGTGACAGTGAGACCCCGTCTCTACTAAAAATAGAAAGAAATTATCTGGACAACTAAAAATATATAGATAAAAAAAAAATTAGCCGGGCATGGTGGCGCATGTCTGTAGTCCCTACTCGGGAGGCTGAGGCAGCAGGATTGCTTGAGCCCAGGAGTTTGAGGTTGCTGTGAGCTAGGATGACACCACGGCACTCACTCTAGCCCAGGCAACAGAGTGAGACTCTGTCTCAATAAAAAAAAAAAAAAAATTTATTATGGAAAATTTTAAACACTTATAAAAGTCAAGAGAATAGTATAATAAACTCCTCCTATGTATCCATTACCTGCCTTCAGAAATTACTAACCATGGCCAATCGTGATGAGACGACTTTTGTTAAGGCTATGGGAATTATAGCTATTGGTAGACTGGTGTTACTTTGTGGAAAAGGGGTTTCTTCTCAGTCATTTTTAAATGAGTGATTGAATTGTTCTGGGGTGGCAAGGTATTAGTATTAAGCACTAACTATGCTAGGCACTTTCCAAATGATATCTAGACCCTTGGTGCTCCAAGTGTGGACTGTGGCCCAGCAGCAAGGGTGTCACCTCGGAGCTTACCAGCAATGGAGAGCCTCCGGTTCCACCCCAGACCAACTGCATCAGGGTCTGCAGTTTAACAAGATCCCCAGAGATTGTATTAAAATTAAGAAGTACTGACTGCCTGGCATAGGGTAGACACTGACTAGCCTCCTAATAATCTTGCAACAATACTACAAGGCAGATATCACCATGCCCACTTTATAGATGAGATAACTGCAGCAGAGAGATATTATTTGGCTTTTCAAAGATTCTACAGCTAATAAACTTAGGTCTGTCTGGCTTCAGTCTACGATTTATAGCATGCTTCCTTCTGGTTAGGGAGTTAACTTTTGGGGCAACTCAGTAAAAAAAGAAACTGACATTGTATGTGCATACGCAACACAAAAACAACCAGTCATCTCAGCAACAACAGCAGAAAACCAGATTGTTTGCTACCATGCAAGCAATCAATTGCTCCACTTAAAGGCCTTTTCACTTTTCAACCAGTTATTATGGCATCATGTGGACAGCTAAATATTTCAGAGCAATCAGCAAAAAAATTGAGCAATTATCAAAGTTACTCCCTCTTGACAGTAACTGTTGACCCAGATATGAACCAAATTGCAAACCACCAGCTCTCCCTGAACAAAGAGAAGATTTGCTATAGACCGAAATAACTGGTAAATGCATTTAAAGAAATCAGTTAGACCAGTTTGACATCATATAGGCAGGAAGGGCAGGTAGATGACTGCTATTTCACTTTCCAACCTGGTGGGCAGCCTTAGCCTGTAGCTCTGCATGAGTACTGAATTGCTTACACCAAGAAGGGAGCCTTAAATGCTTGAGCGCTGCTGGGCAATACAATAGGCCCTTTTGTTTTCTGGGTAGCTTTTTGAAAGGAATATTACTGGAAAGGTAGAAAAAGCATAATTCCTGGAGCACACCCCCCAGTTTAGCAGGAACTCATTAGATCTCAGGAACTTCTCCCCTTTAGTCCTGGGAGGGGATTAGACCATTTCCTTCTCTTTTGCTGCCCTAATGACTCTGGGGACCTGCATTAATGGATCAGCACGGCTACTTGGTTTTGCAATGAGCTGATTTGATGATTAATTAGCCTCTAGCAGGAATCTGATGAAGTTCTCAGCTCAAAGCCCCAGGGATCCAGTTCAGGGCAATCTGCCCTCTCAAAAAAAGACCAGGTGAAGAGTTTCTCAAACTGGCCTGGTGATAGGCCACCACAGGGGTTATGACTGACTTTCTACTTTATGACCAAATGACCTAGACACAACTTGCTGTTGTGAAATAGTAATCCTACTAAAAAGTAATAAACCTACAGGCTCAACAAAGCTAATTGTCTTTATGTATGAAATAAAATTCTTAGTGTATCTCTTCTGCCATGTAAATAATTATCTGGATCACTTTATCCCACATTCTAATGTATTTAATAATATTTTATGGCCAACCTTGCCCTCGTACTGAAAAATGTAATGAACAATACTAGGAATTGAGTTAAAATAAGCAAAAAACAAAAACAAAAAAACACCTAAG